GGATACATATTCTTTTTATGTATTTGTGTGTGTGTGTGTGTGTGTGTGTGTGTGTGTGTGTGTGTGTGTGTGTGTGTGTGTGTGTGTGTGTCTATAGATATCCGAAATGACTATTAGCGTTGTATGTATTAGTTGAACCTTATCGCATTACCAATGTTATTGTTACCTGGATTGTTTAGCAATACAGGTGGGCTCTTTGCTTGTTAGGCGCTCACGTTTTATTTGTTTACCTCTGGCTCTAGTTGAGTTTAAATTAAAATGATTTTATCCCACATACTAATTAAGTTAATTAGTTAATCAGTTAATTAATTCTAATAAGTAGTGAAATCAAAATTTATTTATCGGTTGAATTTTTTGTTAAAATAAGTGGACTTAGCAGTTTTTGGTTGGCTTATTTATTTGTGTTTAAATGTCTATTTTATTTTTATATTCAGCGCCAGTTCATACTTTATTATGTAGTTAGCAACAAAATGTGGATCTATTGTGCGTTTGTTTAGTTAATTTAATTTAATTGAAACAAAATAAGTTTTTCAATTGTAAATTTAAAAATTGTGTGGGAAAAATACAAAGGAAACGACTTGTAGTTATAAAATACGTTTGGAATGGGTTAGTTTAGTGGTTGAAGTTAATCATGAAAATTGAAATGTTGCTCTTTTGTTTTTTTCTGCATTTTCAAATTTTTACAACATTGTTATTACTATTTTTGGTTATTTGTTAAATCTGAATGTGTCGGGTTCAACCTAATGCGAAGAGATATCAACAAATCATATACACAGTGTCTTCACGATGCGTTATATTCACGTGTCTTCACTAAGAAAAATGGATAGATAAATGAATAAATGAATGAACGAACGAACGAATGAATGAATAATCAAAGAGGTGAACGAATGAATGAATGAGTTAATGAGTCAATCAATCCATCTATCAATCGATCAACCAATCAGGATCACGTGTAGCAGCAATACCATGGTTCTCATTGGTTGCGACGGTAGTAATGTGCGTTGGTGTCGGTCTGTTCTGTGGAGCTGGCTTCAGAGCTGCTGAAATCGTCAACGAGGGAATATTTAAAGGATTGTTTCATTTCTATGTTGAATGGTTGGTTGGTTGGATGGATGGTTGTTTTGTTTGTTGGTTGATTGGTTTGTTGGTCGGTTGGTTATTTAAGTGAATGATTGATGGATGATTTGTTCATGAAATTATTGAATAACTTGCTGTTTGATTGATTTGGATATTGACGAATTGCGTTTCAGAGGATTTTTGATTAGTTGGATGTTGGGTAAACGTATGTCTGGTTGGTTGGATGAAGTTTCATTTGCTAACTTGAATAACCTTGCATTGACTAGTTTTAAAATTTTATATTTTTGATTAAAAACTTGATTCGCAGATCAAATAAATAATTACAACCAGCATGTAAAATTTTCAATGTAGGCTACAGAGCACAGAGATAGGTTTTTTCGTATTCGGCCTCTTCATGGGCCTCTTCTCCATCTTCCTACTCACCTTCGCCTTCCTTGCTTCTTTCGCCACCAGGGGCAACATCTACTCAGGGGTCAAGTGTATCATGGGTGGAAGGATCAGCGCTTTTGTGGTTGGTGGCTATTGCTACAGCTGCTGCTGCTGTTGCGACTGTTTTGATTAACTGAATCAATATTTGAAATAATTTTTGTTTATATTTTGCACTTTTTTGATTTTTTTGTATTTATGTTTTTTCTTTGTGTAGGCAATATAAGCTTGCTTCTTTTGTGTTCTTATAGTGTGAAGCAGTTGCTAATAACTATAAGCTTTCTTAACTATATATAAACTATAAGGAAATAATAATTATATGTTGGTTGGATGTCTGGTTAATTGTTAATCGAATTATTATTTCCTTATATGAGCTATAAGAAAATAATAATTTTTATGTAGAATGATTAGAGATATATAATATTTAATGCAACAGTTTCTGGTTTTAACGTACGTGTTGGACTGCGTCTGGATCTGGGTAACGAGTTTTGTGGGGCTAGCCATTTTTCTCTACATGATGCTCTTTTCCATTTGTTCAGTGGAGGTGCAACATCGCACCTATCAATACCTCGACACCGAGTGGGAGTATTGCCTGAATCTCAGTAGATTTGGTTGGTTGGTTGTTTAGCTGATTGGTAGGTTGGCTAGTTGGTGGGTTAGTTGGTTGGTTAGCTGGTTGGTTGGTTGGTTGGTTGGTCGGTTGGATGATTAAAATAGAGGCTAGTTTGAGAAATACATTGTTAGCTAATATAACGTTCATTTGAATTAAACTTAAAAACAGTGCAATGGATTTTTTGCGATGAACTAACTTAGTTACTCTGTTAAACTTAAAAAGTTCTCTCTGCAATAAAACTTCTATCAACTATTTAGCACGCATATCAGCAATGATCTTTTAACAACTACGTTCAAGACACAACAAAACACGCCATAAAACACCTCTCACTCCAATGTAAACACTCCTCACACCGCATCAAACACTCCTCACACTACATCACAATGCGAGAGGCAGACTTTTGATGGTACGCACACACTCAAATAGAAATACACACACCGCACACACACTCATACACACACGCGCACACACGCACATAAAGGAATCTATAGAAACTTCACGGCTGGCATGGACTTGAATGCACTCTGTGATGAGAGCGATCTTGACGATTTCTGCGATTATGTAAGTCATTTTTTTTCCTTGTTTTTTCCATAATAATAATAATAATAATTATTATTATTATTAATTTATAATAATTTATAATAATTAAAATGATTTTTATAATGATTTAATGTACCTATGAATTTATTATTATTATTAATAATGCAGTTTAACGGCGTTTTAGCGCTACTGGCTATCTTTACGCCCTTTTTTCTTTTGAAACAAAATTGTCTTAGGGTTCTTTTGAGTTTTTTTCAAATATTTCTATATTCTGTCGAGTATTTTTATCTCCTGAAGATATGTTATTAGGTTATTGATGTTTTCTCTCTTGAAAATATTTCAATATCTGAGGGGATCTGATATCGTTCCCGAATATCATCATGGTTTTTGCATACCACCAAGTGTTGATCAGGAAGTATTTCATCACAAAAGTTGCATGCTGCTGGATTTGTTTTGTTGATTATCCAAGAATGAGTGTATTTTGAATGGCCTATTTTTAACCTATTAATAATTGTCCTCAGTTTACGGTTTAAACCTTTAGATTCATCTGGATTTTTTTAAAAACACTTGGCATGGATAGTTTAAGATAATTGTTAATCTTATTCCATTCAAGTTGCCATTTTTTATTCATAATTTTTTTTGTCCAAGTTCTTAAATCACTGTATGGAATTGGTACATTTGATATTGGGATAGCATGGGCTTGTGATGCGAGTTCATCTGCTTCTTCGTTGCCATGAATTCCTATGTGACTGGGAATCCACATCAAAGCTATTTTATTACTATTATTAGTCAATTTATTACAATTTATTATATATATTATTTTGTATTTGCTTTATCAGATTATGTTGAGGGTTATATTGATTAAGTGCATGAATTTAACTTGAATCATTTCCAGGTCATCATCACTCACCTCTCGTTAAGATATAGAGTTTAAGCGTATATTTTATCAACATAAGCACGGCTTATTCACATAAGGCTAACTAACAACTATTATTGATAAATAAATGCTTTTCTCAATTTTCAAATTATCGAAGCTTATCATGTTGTTTGGTTGGTGAAAATGCTAAATTGTTAGAATCGCTTAGCCATGTGTTGCATTGCAGATATGGGATTTGAATTCAAAGACACTAGTTTATCATTGTAATATGATACTTGTACTGTTGTACATACTTTCGCATATGCTATACGTGTCTTTGAAATTTCTAAATAGTTGCCATCAGAGATAGTCGAGGCTTGCTGGTTTTGGTGTTTTCTTATCTCAAAAAGAACAATCTGAATTAAACCGTAATAAATCACACCATCACAGATATCGAAATCAGGTCCACAGTTCATCATTGCATTCGTCGGCTCTTTCTTGGTTGTCTTAGGACTGGTAATCTAATTCGATTATTATATTTTTATAAAAAGTTGAAATATTTTTATCGCTTGAATTTGTTTAAAACAACCAATTCAGATGGACAATTTTGTCAAATTAGAGTAAAATGGTTGAAATTTTCTGCAGTTTTAACGTTTTGGATGAAACATATCCCACACGTTTAACAAAAACCAACAATACAAATAATACAACGATACAACGACAGTTCGTTACAAAAATTTCCTCACCCACAGATCATGTATTCCATGGAGCTTGGGGCCAAATACACAAAAATTCAATCTACGAAGGAGATCACACAGTACAGTGAAACCTTTGCCCTCAACGACGCCAGCCATCCAACTAACTTCAGATAACGTACACTACTCCAACGCATACGTTCCTAAAATGTACAAACACGCTCTGTATAAACACGCCCTGTATAAACACGCCCTGTATAAACACGCCCCGTATAAACACGCCCATGCATACCTACATAAATACCAACAAGAATACATTCACATTCACATACCTATAAACAAAATTGCATATACACGCTTAGCTCTAATGCGAATGAAATATAATGGCTCTTGTGTATATCGATATATCCGTCTTATTAAGCCATCACAAAATCAGTCAAACATCAATCAATCAATCAATCAATCAATCAATCAATCAATCAATCAATCAATCAATCATGAAATCTTTTCATTACTCAGCCAATCCAACTTACCATTCACCTATATCTCTAGCCCAGCCAATAAAAAAAGCGATTAAAACAACCCCACATTCAATCAACCAATCAGATGTTTTGTATCTGAAGCTCTTTAATATTGTCATGACAGATGAATTGAATAACTGATATGATAGGACAGATTTTTATATTTTTGAAAAAGTTTGTTTTCTTTTAACATTAGAACATTTTTTCCCATAAAATGAAATCGAAGAAAATAGAATCAAAGAAATGAAATGATCTGGAAGCCAAAAAGAACTGTTATTGTTGATTGGTTTGTTGGTTGGTTGATTGATCGATTGATTGATCGATCGATCGATTGATTGATTGATTTGATTGATTGATTGATTGATTGATTGATTGATTGATTGATTGATTGATTGATTGATTGATTGATTGATTGATTGATTGAGTGATTGACAAAGTTTTACATAGTATTGGTACATACAGCACTAAAATATTTGTTAATTTTAAAATAGTATTCAAACTGGGAAATAATTTGTAAAATCGTAAAATGTATACATAATATGTTAAATTAAGGAGTTAATTGAATGCTGATAATTTTAAAATGACGCTAATCTTTGAGATTATTCTAATTATAAATATATATATATAACTATAAATAACAATAAATGACGTTATTCTAATTATATGACGCTAATCTTTTGAGGACAGTCTTTTTTTCAGTGTTATAACTCAATTCTTACACTGAAGTTACTTGAAATGTTATTAATTAGGAAGTAAGGTATGACTCATTATTTTTATTAAAAACATTAAATATGAAAATAGTAGTATATTTATATATAATACTTTTAGTATTTAATTATTTTCAGAATTACAAGAAAAATAATTTTGTCCTTACATAACTCGGTTCTTTTAGAAAATTATGATTAAATTCATTTTTAATTAAAATAAACATGGCAAACTTTGGTAACGTTAAGCAGGTACCCCACCTACCCATATAATAATTAAACAGTCGGGGTCACGAGACAAGAAACATCAAGAAAATTGAAGAAAAAACATCATTAATTATTCAATTAATTTGATAATTTGTTTCATGTTGGTCTTTTTATTTAATTATTCACACAAACATTTACCCCAATTCAACTGTTGTTTTTTGTATTTTATTTTTAGTTTACCACAACATACAACTCATGTCATTTATTTGAATTATGTAGAGATTTAAATGGTAGTTAGACAGTTTGAGTTAGAGTTAGATTATATTATAGGAGATGTTAGATAGGATTAGATTAGATTAGCAGCAACAACAAATTTGATAAAAATACACTAAACATAATGAGGAAACATCGGCTCTTAAAAGCCTACAAGCTATCTCAAAATCGACAATCATTCCGGAGTTCAGAGTGTAAAATTTTTCTCTTCATCATCACGTTAGTTTTTTTACTCGTCTGCTCTACCGTAATCTGGGTCCTTAGAGTCCAGGATACGTCAAATGTTCGAGTCATTACGATATCCCACTGGGATTGGACATCCAATTTGACAAGTGGGATTTTTGTTTCCTGATTCTTATCATTTTACCGAGATTGTACATTTACATTGAAAACATTGATAGAGGTGCGACAATAAATATAAATAAAATGATGAAATAAATGATAAGATAAAATGAAACTACTGAAAATTAAAATGGATGGTTGAACATTTACTAACTGGATGCAAGTAAATGCAATTAGTTATATCAAATCTTTAAATCAAATTCTTTAATATTAATTAATTGAATATTTTATAAAAAGCTTGAAAATTAAAAAAAAATATTCAACAAATTTAAAAAAACACAACAGATGTCTTCAGTAGCAGTAATGGCTGGAATGATTCGACAAGTAGCATCAGCAGTAGCAGCAGATACATCACTGTTGAAGTGTCAGGGTTAGGAGAGAAATTGCTCGAAATCGAAGATGGGCCCATTGTTAATCCACATAATTTCAACTATAAGCTCAATCCTGGATCCATGATTTGCTCTCTAGAAAGGTAAAATTTGATTGGTTATTCAGATTGGCAGGTAGAATTTGATTGGTTATTCAGATTGCTATGTAAAATATGATTGTTTATAAATAATTGTTTATAAATTGATGGGCAGCATTTAATAAAAAACCTCCACAAAAGTATATTTTCATTAATTTAAAAATGTTTACACACCTAAATTAGTGCAAGCCAGAAGCCTCTAATTCTAATCTACATCCACTCAGACCCCTCCCACGACAAGAGGCGTCTTTTGATCAGGGAAACGTGGGGAAGTCCGTACAATTTTAAAGATTTTGAAATTAGGACGATATTCCTCTGTGGTATAACTAATAATAACACAATGCTTCAGGAGGCACTTGAATTAGAATATGATAGGTTTGTTGGTGTGTTTGTTTGTATGTGTGTGTGTGTGTGTGTGTGTGTGTGTATGTTTGTATGTCCGTGTGTGTGTATTTGTTTGTAAATGTGTATGTGTATATAAATAAAAAAATTTGATGTTTTGAACTTTTGAAGATATGTTATTAATTGATTTTATGTTACCAGATATAGAGATATAGTGCAAGAGGATTTCATTGACACATACAGAAACCTAACTTATAAGGTTGAATGGGCGATTGGTTGATTAATTGATTGATTGATTTGTTCATTCATTCATTCATTCATTCGTTCGCTCGTTCGTCCTTTCATTCATTCATTCGTTCATTCATTCATTACAACAACTCTAGGGCATAATGGCTTTGAAGTGGATATCACAAAATTGTATGAAGGCACTGCTTATACTAAAAGCTGACGATGACATATTTCTTAATATTTTTAAATTGGTCAGTGATTCACTCGTTCATGCATACTTATTTATATTCATAAATTCATATATTCATTCATCAATTAATTCATTCATTCAATCATTTTTTCCCCATTAATTCATTAAAAAATTAATTCATTCATTTATTCATTCATTAAACACTTCACTCATTTACCAGTTCTTTCATTCACCCATTAAAAAATTCATTCACTCATTCAGATGTCTCGCTTAAACACAATTATGCATGATAATGGAATCCTAAAGAGCAACAACAACAACATCAACAACAACATCAACAAAGACATCAACTTGTTTATGTGTAATGTATGGGACAGAATGATGGTGATTAGAGATCCAAAGAGTAAATGGTGTGCACATTTGTATTGTATTGTGTTGTATTGTATTGTATTTTTTTGTATTGTATTGTATTATATTGTATTAGGGTATTTGTATTTGTTTGTATTTTGTTTTAATAAATTCTCACAAGTATTAACAACCTACATCAACAAACACAGAGTATTTTTATTCACTCTTTCATCATTCATTCATTCATGTATTTATTCATTCTTTCATTCGTGTATTCATTCAATCATTTATTCATTCATCCATCCATTCATTCATTCATCTATTTGTTCATTTATTTATTAATCCAACCCTCTCATTCATTCATCGCCATTGGCGTCAATTTCGAAACCGAAACTCAGGTACGTTTCCGAGGCGGAATTTCCAGAAAACTATTTTGGTCGGTATTGTTCTGGATCGGCGTACGCCTACACAACCTCCATGGTCCCGATGATGTTCCGGATGAGTAGGCACGTCCCATTTTTCTGGGTCGATGACTATTACATTACGGGATTGCTTCCATCCAAAATGAAAATTCCCGTCAAGTGCGTTGTTGTTGTTGCTGTTGTTGTTGTTGTCGTCGTTGTTGTTGTTGTTGTTGGTGGTGGTGTGTGGTTTTGGTGTTATATGATCTGCATATGCATTCAGAACCCGACAAACACACACACGCTCGCACACACACACACACACACACACACACACACACACACACACATATATATATATATATATATATATATATATATATGCACATACAGCAATAGACACACAACAGATCTCAGACACTTACAGAGTTACACAAACACACACTCAGGTACGAGTAGATAAACCACACAAACACTCTCACACGCAAAATTACACGCACGCCCACATTCAACTGCACACACACACACACACATCCAATGTCTCACACACACACATTCAATCACACACACACACACAGATATGAGGAGATAAACCGCTTATACTTTCTTGCACCAGGACTTTTTCTGGAAAAGTTTTCAATGAATGATGGCGATGGTGAGGAAAGCAGGCTGGCCATTGGCCATTCACACAACATCAACCAGTTTCTGGCGGTCTGGCGAATGGTCCTCAAGAAATATGCTAATGCGACTATGAGTTGATTGATTTGGTTATTTGTATGCGTTTGTGTGTGTGTGTGTGTGTTTTTTATGTTGTCTGAATGTTTTGTTTGTGTTTGTATGTTGTTTGTGTGATGTCTATGTGTTGTGGTGTTTTTTTTTGTATGGTTTGTTATTCCAGGGTTTGTATGTTTAGATGTTTATATCTTTGTTTAATACTTGTTTATTTATTTGTGAATTTGTTAAGTTTCTTTTGAAAAGTATTAATAGTGGGGATGTTAATATTTTTTTTACATTTTTTTTCTATTTGTAACTTCATTCTCTCATCTCCCATCTTATTTATTCACGTTTGTAATTGCAATAGGATGCGTTTATTGATTTACAGATTTATTTATTTACTGATGTAATCTGTTAATTAATTAATTAATGTGCTAATTAATTAATTAATTGATTAATTAATTGAGTATTTTTTCACTTTTTAAGCAATCGCTTGCGTTGTAGATGTTTCATATATTTGTATGTTTGTGTATTTAAAAAACGTCATTTTTTTCTCTAATCGTTGTGACTATCTTACATTTTTCTAATTTCAAGTTAATTTCTAATTTCACACACGCACACACAAATACAAACACGCACACACACAAACACACACAAACACAGATACACACACACACATACACATATTTTTATTTTTCTGCTTTCAATTAACGAGATCACCTTGCCTTATTTTAATGATAAAAATAATCAAAAGTATCATAATTAGATAGGGAACTACAAAGATGCAAGATATTAATTTTAGCCAGTTGTAGTAGCGGCATTCTGTGTGTGTGTGTGTGTGTGTGTGTGTGTGTGTGTGTATGCGTGTGTTTGTGTATGTGTGTGATGATTTTTTCTCCGTTCCTACTCTGGCTACTGTTTTTTAAATTTCTTTTTTTAGTAAATAGATCCGTATTTATATGTACATTCATCGTTAAATTCTTCATGTGCCAACTGTAACGCAACCTTCTTTTAAAACAAATTACACACACACACACACACACACACACACACAGGTACAATTACAACACTGCACTACACAACAACACATAACACGCACATACTTACAAAGCACACACCAAACAGAGTACACACACAC